TTTTAAAATTTTAGCTTCTCTATTAATTGTTATTGTTGCTGGTCTTTATCTTATATTTCGTGGTCGAGTAGAAAATTTTGCTGAACCATTCGAAGGTTCAACATATGGAAAAATTACAAGTGCATTATATGCTGGTTTATTTCCTTATTCTGGATGGTAAGAAAGAAAACAAACAATAAACGATAATTCAGAAATACTTTTTTTTTTGAAAAATAATTTCATATTTGTTTTTTGTCTCTTCTAAAGGAATTATTTAAATAATACAATTGAGGATCTTAAAGATCCAAAACGTACATTACCTCGTTCAATCGTTATTTCATTATTGATTTGCATTTTTGTCTATTTTTTAACGTTCAGTTCTTATTTTACGGCCTTATCTGCATATGATATTTTAATGTCTGATGCAACAGCTGTGAGTTTTGCAGAACGTGTATTACCATTTCTATTATATATTATACCCATTGGTGTAACAATGTCATGTGTTGGAGGTAAATGTCTTTTGTGTTATTGTAAATATAGTTATTATTGATAAATTTTTTTTTAGCTGCATCAGGAAATATTTTTACCATTGGACAAATGTTTAATGGTAAAATCAATCAAATTATTATTTTTTTTTTTTTGAATAAAAGAATACTGAATATTTTTCTAGTTGCTGGTCGTGATGGTTTAATGCCACATATATTTTCAATGAAACATTATGAATCTAATGTACCTATGATTGCAATTTCATGTGAAATTATTGTTAGTTTTGTTTTTCTTTTCTTTATGTCAAACATTGGAAAATTAATTATTTGTGTTGGTATGATTAATTGGATATGTAAGTATTAATTTTTATTAAATTATTAAAGTATTTATATAAATATATATAAATAGGTATTTTATTGGCTTCTGTTGGTTTAATTGTTCTTCGTTATAAACATCCAAATCGTGAACGACCAATTAAAGTTCCTTTAATTATTCCAATTTTATTTGTTTCAATTTTAGTAGTACTTATTGTTGCAAGTGCATTAACTGATTTAGAAAATATTACTACATCTTTACTTTTATTAGCTACAGCTATCCCGGCTTATATATTTGGTGTAATATGGAAAAAGAAACCCAGTAATTTTAATCGTCGATATAATTCATTTGCAATTATGTTACAAAAATTATTTCATGTTATACATGATGAACATGAGGAATAAAAAAAACAAAAGAATTAGGAAATAACTTTGCAAGTGCAACTTTTTTCTACTTTTAAGTCTCTCTCTGTTTTTTATGCGTCTATGTAGACTTATAGTCATATCTTTTTTTTTATATGAAAGTAAATGCCATTTTTGTTGTATTTCGTTGTTGTCGTTAAACTTCTTGTTTCTCTATATATATATTTACATGTATATATATATATATCTGAAAATGAGAATCAGATTCATTAATAAAACATTATCTAACATTAGACATAAATTTTGATTTGATCGAAAGAGACAAGAAGTAAGTATAAAGTAGTAGTGTAACTCGCAAAAAGTTAAGTATATTCAAATTTTCAAAGTTGCCAACACATGGGAAGGAATTTTCTGAGAAACTTCGGAGATTACAGAAGCGTAAAAAACAAGTTCGAAGAAATTGAATACTAAATTGCAGTATTTATTTATTTTTTTCTGAAAAATTAATGAAATTTCTAAACACTAATTATAAACATATTATACTATTTTGTTAGAAATGTGGAAGATTCCTATCCTCAAGTTGTATAAGTATAGTTCAGAAAATACTGAGAAATATCGGCAATTACTAGGAAATCATCGAAAATTCTTTTAGTTTTGTGGATGGGCTTCGATATTTCTACAGACTTAAAACTTCATTTATCTATATGAATGCTAAAGAAGTATTCGTAATTTCCTGATAATAACTGGAATTACCGGAAACTCTAATAGTTTTTTTTATTATTGTGAATGAACTTCTTTATTATTATACTTCAATAACTACATTTATCTATATTGATGCTAAAGAACTCTTACAAATTTCCGTAATTTCCTGGAAGTTTCTGAAATGTCTCAGGCAATTTCCTTAGAGTTTCTCTGTTATGAATCTGAAATTACCCGAAATTTTCGAGAAACTACCTGTTCATGTCTTAGTAATATCCGAAAATTTTCTCTCTCAAAAATCTGAATACTGCTGAAATTTCAGCGTACATTATTATCCATCGATAAGTCTAATGATTCATAGAATACTTTTGAAGTTTCAGCTGAAACGAAGGTTTTTTTTTTGTTGAAATATTGAATATTCAAGTAAAACTCGATTTTTGCATCATACTTATGACAAATGACTACTTCTTTTTTGAAAACTTGATAACTCGAGAAAAGAACATTATTTTCGGCTGAAACTTTAAGTTGATTTTTTTTGCAAAATTGTGTTCTATTAAATAATTTATCAATAAATAATTTCTTTTGTAAAAATATATTTTTCTCACAAATAACAATCATAGAAATAAATTTCTGTTTAAAAAAAAAAAAAAACTTTTTTGCTACAAATTTAAACTATACTACTATCTCGATTATTCTATTTTGATGTTAAGAATGTTACCAAGGATATTTAATTTAAAATGAAGGTTAATTAGCTGTTCAAAATTTTTACCCACTTCAATCGTTATTATTCTTTGTCGTTACTTTTCAATTAAAAAAACAAGAACATAAAAAACAAACTCGGGTGTTTTTTTTCTTATTCTTTATACATTGGCGTTGTATAATTTAAATAAAATTTTTCTTTTTCCATTCTATTGTTTTTCTGCTTTTTGTTGTTTTCATTTTTCTTTTTGATGGTGCTAGTGCACAGCATCATAAGTATTGATGGCGATGACAACATGCGGTTATGAAGCAATGCGTAGTGGTGATGCCATTTTATTTTATATTAATCGTGATGGTCTTCCTTTATCAGATCGATGTACTGAACGTATGTGGACTTTTTGTATGGAACAATATCCTAAAAGTAAGTTCATATGATTAATAGATTTTTATTATTTAAATTTCGGTTTGTTTTTTTTTTTGTTTTATAAATCTAGATATAAACTAAAAAAATCTTCTTCTATTCATTGAAAAAAAATTGTTGAAACAAATATTTATTACATACAAAAGAAATTTCTTCAAAAATATGTTGTTCTTTTTAATAGACAAAAAAAAAGAAAGAAAACTTTTGATTCAAAAACTTATTGTTGTTTTTTTATATAAATATTGCTGACAATAATTGAACATGTAAGATTTCTTCAAAAAGTTTACGATCAAACATCAATATTCTTGTTTTTAAATTGTAACACTTGAAAAGAAAAACGAATTCTTCAAATTTCAACTTTAATAGTTCTATTAGAAAGATTCTATTCTTTCAATAAATTTTTTTCACATCAACAAACGAAAGAAAAAACAATTTTTTATGATGAAAGTATTTCAAAACAAGCTTCTACTTCTTCTATTATGTTTTTTTTTGCATGCATGCAAAGAACAAAAACCAGAACTTTGTAACATTTTGTCGAATAAATATAATCGAGCAAGATCTAAAAGATTTCGAATGTTCATAACACATTAGAATATAATCATTCTTTGTGTGAATAAGAAATACTATATATTGATAGATTACATAAATTTCAATATTGAGATAGTCAAGATAATATATTATTGATTCTAATGAACATGAAACAAATAATTATGAATAAAGTTAATTAGATATCAAATTGTTTTTATTCTATTAACAAAAAAGAAAATTTCATTCTTTCTTAAGATGCATTAGAAATAAAAACAATACGTGATCGAATTAGTGATTATCCTCAGATCGCATATGTTGAGCCACCTTATAATGTAGCAACAAATCCTCGTTTAAGTCTTCAAGAAAAATTACAACAAATACAAACATATATTCAACATCTTGAATATAATTATACTGGTATGCAGTTTTTTGATCTTAATGCAAATCGTCCAATATCTGGTTTAATGGATACTGCTAGACATATGTAAGAAATTTAAATAAAATGAAAAAAAAAATACAAAGAAAGCATTTAATTTCTTTTTTTTTTTTGAAATCTTCAAATGTTATTTATTTATTTTTAGAATGACAGAATCATTACCAATAAAATGTTTTGAAGCATTTTTAATAGCTATTTATTTAACAACAGGTATTGTAGGTCTTGAACGTTTTAATATATCATTTAAAACACGTTTTAATTCAATTGTTTATCGTCATATTGTTCTTGGTGTTAAATATGGTCAAATGTATGGTGCATTAGGTTTAAGTCGTCGTACGGATCTTGCATATAAACCATTAAATGGTAAATATGAACGTTTATCAAAATTAATTGATGATTATTTACAAGCATATAAAAATTATGGTCATACTGTTTTACGTATTAAAATTGGTTTACCAATAATACATGATTTAAGATCATATTTAACAATAAATTGGAAAGCAATTATTATTCAACCAAATAAAACTGATAAAATTGATTATGAACGTGAATTAGATAAAATTGTTCGTATATGGAGACAAATGAATATTTACATGCCATATCGATCGAATCTATCATTATCATCAATGGTACAATCAACTAATACACTTGTTACAAGAGCATCATCACCAAATCGTTTACAATCATTATCATTTCGATCAAATCGTGAAGGATCATTAACTTGTCGTCGATCAGCTATTAAGAAAACAATAACAACAACCGATGATAATCATACAACTGATAGAGATCAATCTCTTCCTTGTGCTATTCGAGTATGATTTTATTGTTCTTTTTTTTTTTATCAAGAAACAACAAAAGAAAAAAAACATACATATGAAGACAGAGACATCAAGGTATACTTAATATATCCATATATGTGTATATATATATACGATTAGCAAAAATAACTAAAGGCTACACACACATTTACAAAACATACAGGCTTAACTTCGAAAGAAAAAAAAAGAAGTTTAATGAGATTTCGATCATCAATTCGTTCTTTTGAAATTTTTGAATGAATTTTGTACATTTTGTTTTATGAGGGTTTTGTTGAAGATGCTCCCTGATTGTTACGTAATGCATCGTCATATGCTGGTGGGCCACCTAAAATTATAAACAAAAAATTTTATTAGAATTCTTTTCATAACATATTAAAGTATAGTGACTGACAAATATTTCGAACAGCTGTATTTCTAAGTTTTCTTCTCGATGGTAATAAACTTATGTCCGGCACTATATGATAAAACTCCTTTACTCATGTATATATATATATAGTTTTTATTCCTATTTGCCAATGAATTATATTTTTTTTTTTTTTTTTATGATTATTATATTTTTCATAATTGATTTCGCATTTCTATCGGAGGCAAAATTGAGTTTGATTGACATGCTTTCATCCGGTTGCCAAATGGCAATAATGTTACTAATTGAAATGGAATAGCAAAACACGTGAATAAGCTCATTCTTTAAAGCTAAAAAGAGGATCATTCGCACAAACGCTATAGGTGAAAGTGCTAGTTAAATTACTTAACTGATAGTAACTTGCTGCTGAAAATTTCTTTTCTTTTTTTTGCTTGAAATAATTCATCATAATGTAAAAGAAAAGAATGTGTGTGTGAGGAAACAAATTTTATCGAAAAGAAATAAACAAACAACAAGAATTTATTGTATTTTTTATGTTACATTTCATTTCAGATACATGCATAAATATATTTAAATAAGCCAATATTTTTTCTAAGAACATGTATCAAATAATATTTCATGCATACAAGCCTGTTTAATTATTCAAAAAAATTAACATTTACGATGAAAATTAATATCGAAAATCTATAAAAGATATTTTTATTTATGATTTAAATTAGAATTATGTTTTGGTTTTTCTACTTAAAAAGATTAAAGAAGATCTGTATTTTTTTTTCTTACCTTCTTTTGCGAAATACGGATTATGTGATTGTTGTTGAGGTGGATATTGTATTTGCTGTTGAGGTGAATATTGCATTTGGTGTTGAGGTGGATATTGCATTTGCTGTTGAGGTGGATATTGCATTTGCTGTTGAGGTGGATAAGGCGTTTGATATTGTTGTGGATAAGAAGGATAATTTCCATCATAATTTTGTGGTGGAACTGCATATGGATTTCCAGTTGGTGGTGGTGGATAACCCATGGGTGGCGGTGGCGGATGATAAAAAGGTGGTCCTTGTTGTTCCTCAATTGGTGGTTCCGTTGGAACCATTACATCATCTTCTATAAAAACAAAAAAAAGTTTAGATTAGAGAAAAACAAATAAATAAAAAAATCAATACTTCGTCGTTGTCGATTACGTCTTGTAAAAAGAACAATGACAATAACGACTATTATTATAAGAAGAAGTATCCAACCAAAATTCGAAGCACCACGAAACGGACCACTAAATAAATCAATTTTTTTTAAGATAAAATAAAGTTTTTGTTTTTCTGTTTTTTTTATTATTCATTAAAACAAACCTATTATCTTCACGAATACAACAATATTGTTTTCCATATTCACCACAACAATATTTGGCTTCTCTTGGAAATCCATTCAATGGACAACGAAATTGTCCAAATCGTGTACCATTCATATCTTCATTATTTACACATGTTTCTCCAGCTATATAAATAGTAAAAAAAAAAAAGATAAAACTTATTAATATATATACATTGACTCTCGATATTATTTGATCAGGTTTTCTCCCTTGGTTCCTGTAAACAGTAATAAGAAGAATACAAATAGTGATTTAAATAGAAAATTTTTGAAGACAAAAGTGATTACAAGTTCTTCAGCTCCTAGAATTCCTCAATAGAATTCTTTTTGAATTATCAAAAATTAAAGAACAAATGATTATCTACAAAACAGGTCTATACAATGTTTTTTTTTATATCGAACTATATCAATCTTACGAAATACATAAAAATGGTGTTTTCATAAAAAATATCGAAACAAAAACTGACTCTGGCGTCTTTGGTAAGATTGATGTATCTCGATGACAAAACACTATACAAAGCTGAAAAATTCGTTTTCTTTTTAGTCTTCTACAATCTCTTTCATTAAAAAATTAGCAATTGATTTCATCTTCAAAAACTCTTTGAAAATAGAATGTTCTACTTATATCAATATGTGAATTCTTCTTAGCATTTACAACAATAAAAAAAACAAAAATTACAAATCAATCTGGTTGCATAATTTTAAGAATCATTCTCTATATACAAAAACTTACTTCCATAACCCGGTTCGTAATATCCAGGTCCTCCATGATATGAATGTGACATCGATCTCATTAAAGAATATGCTGCTATACCACCTAATGCTCCAGCACCAAAACTCATAGCATTACTTTTAAATCTACTTCCGGAACGACTAAAATTAAAAAATAAATTATTAAAAAAAAAATATTTGATTATATTATTTACCCTTTATTCACATTACTATAACCTGATGATCCACCATATGTTCCTGAACCTTTTGAACCTCCCCAAGATCCTCCACCTCGAGAACCTCCACCTCTGCCACCTCCACCTCGTCCACCACCAAATCCTTTACCATCGGTGCATGATGAAAATAAAACTATAAATATAAATTTAAAAAAAAAATAAAATTTTATCATTTATTTATTATTTTAATCTTACATGAAATAATAAATAAAATATAAAACCATCTAAATAGATGATTATCTCGCATTTTGTCAAAAATAAAAGAAAATCTGAAATACAAAAGAAAAGAAATACGTTTATATGTAGTCATTAAATGCTGAGTGAACCTGAGTGTATAAATACAATATATATATATATGAACGTTAATGAAAAAAAAAATTATACAAATTAATGTTAATAAATCGAAAATAATTTCTTTATTCTAATAAGTAATCATTATGTAGTTATATATCGGGTAAACCTTTTATAGCTTCGGAATATGGTGGAGGAGCTAAAAATATTTAAAACAAAAAAATTTATTGAACTATTTATTTTTCAAATAACTTACAATCCGAAGGTATAGTATTTATCGTTCGATTGACGATCTGTGGTTGTTGTATACTAGTGCGTTGATTTATTTCTAAAGAAATTAATAAGAAATATAACTAGCATATCGATTTATTTTTTGATGTTCGAAAAAATGATCAAGTAAAATAATGTGTTAAAATGGTTGTTTTTTTTCTGGCATTTTATATGTTAGCAATTATTAATCGAAAGATACATACGTTGATCATCTACTTGACTGGTAACGGCATAGCTATGACCTAAATATTAAATTGAGGTCTAACTAAATAATTGAAAACTATGATTCGAATTTTAGACAGAAAAAATAACTGCTTCCATTCTCATGTTTCTTTTATTATCTATCGTGAATTTTATCACGATCAGTACAATTACGCATTTCGTATTGCTCATAATGATTCACATGTCTCATACATAATGAAACATGAGAATTCTGTATGATGAAATAACCCTATTATATTCATTTTTTTTTTTTTGAAATATTATTGATCTCAATGATTTTCCGTCTTTTGTTTTTGCTTTTCTTAGGATGAATACAATCAATAGTCAAAGATATACTAACCTTTTCGTTTTAAATAACGACGATAATAGACAATACAACAAGCAATAAGCAAAAGAATAAGACTACAAGCTGAAATAATACCGATGATGGCACCAATAGCTCGACGACCACTAAAACGTCATAATAACAAATAACTGAATTGAATTCTTTAAAAGAAACAAAATATTTCTGCTCTTTTTGTTTATAATTATAATAAAAGATAGGGAAAAAATGTGATATTTTAATCATGAAATGAGGTAAAAATTTATCTATTACAATAATGAAATAGAAACTATTTATAAAGTAAATAACTTCATATTAAATTAACTTTTCAAATTTTTTGTTTCTTTTTTTTTGATATTCTGTCTAAAATACAATAAAACTATTCGTCAAAAAAAAAAAAGAAAGAAAAGACATACAGCATGATGATTGAAATATAATCAATATATATATTTATTTTGTATGTGTAGTATCTCGTATGAATTCTCTGATTATTTACAAGCCATACGTCTACAATGTATAGACAAAGCATGAAGATTAATCAGTTAATAATTATAAAAAAATTAAAGGTAAAAATAATCACAAAGAGAGAAGAAAAAGTATTATTTTTTTGTACTAAAGCTTTTTTTTTTTTTGTTGTTGTTGAGCAAGACGCATTTCGACTGTTTGCAAAATTACCATTATAATGTACGGACGAAAGAAAAAAAGAATAGAATAAGATAGAAAAAAAAAATACGAGAAGACACATACGCAGCCTGTCAACTACGGAAAAAGAAATCTAAAAACAGAACAGGAAAAAAAAAGAACAAAATAAGAAAGAAAAAAAATTATACCGTTCCCAGAAGGAAGAGTACTATATGTGCCTCTATGACCCTTAAAAGCAACAATCATTGGTTGTAAAATAAAACGATATATGTCGCCAAACATCATTGAAAATAAAGTTCATATACAGTTACACATACTTTCTGTATGTAACATTTAGAAAACATTAATATTGAATTTTAAAAAAAAATAGACATGCCTGGAATATATTCTTTATCAGTATTGAAAACAAAACAAATGCATAAGAAAAAAAACTGCACTACAAATCAAAATATACGCATTAACCTTATATAAAACTGATGGTTGCCTATCCGAATAAAAATAGAAGCAAAAGATTTTATTAGACTATCTAATAGAATATTATTATCTATTTATTTCATTTAATAAATGAAAGAGAAAAACAAGATCAACATACTTATTCATGTTTTTTGAGAATCACTATTAAATAGATATAACTATAAAACTTTTCAAATTAATTTTCATCATCAGATTAAACGTACACATGTACATTATTATTAATTGAATTTAATATGATTTTATATAAGAAATGAATAATGATTACATCACAAAAAACAAAACGAAATGTACATATATATATTTTCGACAGATTATTATTTGTGATTAAACTTTATCTTTATTCGAATAATAAGTGATAATCGATAATTTATCTGTTTATTCTTACTTTTCATACTACATTACCATGTCTGCATAGAAAAATATTAGTGACAAAAAAAGTAAACAGATCCATATGTGTATGTATATATATATTTCTAATATTTCTATCTAGAATAAATGGAAGGTTTTTTTTCTAGAATCTACTACGTGACATAAGATTAAGCAATACTATTCTAAAACATGAATGATCATCTCTCCGGAAATCTGAAACACTCAAATGACGTCATTGTCTGCTAAAAAACACTTCTTTTCACTTACATTACTATGTGTTTTTTGTAAGAAACAACAATAATGAGTCATTTCTAATTCTGCATCCAATTAATTTTTTTTCCACTTATGATTAGAGATGTTCATCTTATTATTGATTGATGAATATCATTATCTATTAGTTATGCCTATAATAAAGGATTATTCATTATTTCATAATCATATTTAGTATAAATTAATTCTTTTTAAAAAATAAATTCATTTTTAAATAAAAGTATATTTAATGAGCGACATCTATTCTATTGTTTTAGAAAATATTTTTTGGAAATATGAAAAGATGATTATTAAGTTATATTTTAAAATAGTATAATATATGCTGAGACAGAGAGAGAAAGAGAATTCTCTATTGATTGATTTATTTTGTTAACTATTAATGTTTATTTATTTATTTACTGGAAGAATGTCAATTGATTAGCATAGGTGTTTGCTGTAGCAGTTAACCACAATTCCGTATTGTCTTAATGTTTATCACTACAAGTGGTTCCTGTTCTTATTTACTAATATATAGTATCTAATAGTATGTTATTTTTTTTTCCTCGATAATTAGTTTATAGAAGTTATGCTTATCTATCTGTTCGAACAAGTAGATTTCATCATTTATTGTTTGAAAATTTAATTATCGCATTGAAAAATAATGATATAGTATAAGATTATAATTTAATGAAATTAAAATAATATTCTAAAAGACATATTCAATGTTTTAAAGTTGATGATTCATATATAGAACACAAAAAAAAAACTAATAAATGACATTTTTCCTACGAGACTTACAATGTCATTTATTTGTATCTGTTTATTTACTTGGTAATTAAAATGAATAAGGACGATACGGAAGACAAAAAACAGATGGAATTATTATTATATAAAACAAAGCCTTGTCGCATATCTGAATCTATATCATATAACACCAATTTAAAGTCAAGTATCATTGTTCAATAAATATTCATTTTGAAGTTGATTTCATAGGTTTATTAAAAAATGTTATTATTCAACACTTTCAATAAGATCTATAATATGAAGAATTAATCATGTGTTCTTAAGAGTTTTTTCTCTCTCTTAATCGGTTTTTTTTTGCTATATGACTAAACTGACTTGGCATTTTGTCGAAGAGAAAAAGTTGATGTATCTTGTTGTGTCGAGGATTTTTTTCTCATGTAAATAGAGATGAAGAAAGAGAGGAGGCGGAAATACTTGACTGCGGCTGAAAAAAGAGATGATAGAAGAACAGTAACAGAAAAAAAAAGAAAGAATGTGGTCTGTTTCTAGCAATACAAACAAGAACGTCTGTCAGTTACAATGCTACAATAATCTTCGTTTTTTTTTCTTCTCGCTATCGAGCAATTTTTTTTTCTTGAGCAAATATTTCTTCATCTCTCTTTTATTGTTAGTTATTTTTTATATAGCAATAGCTTTCAGTTTGTACGGCAACATCTATGTTTCTTATCTAAATTTCAATGGTTCTCTACAAGGAAATCACTAAAGAGGTAAGTTGTCACAAGAGATTAAACTTACAAAATAAATCAAAATTTCTTTTGTCTCACGAGATGTTAAGTTTCGTCTATGTTTTTATTTTAAGTATTGACTTGAGAATTTTAACAGTTAGTTTTCATATGTAAATTAGAGATATTGTGTCCTCTTCAAAATGTTATATATGTCATTTTGACATGACTAAAACTTCATATCATTAATTATTCTATAATCTGATTAATGACATTAACTGACACTTGACATCAAATCAGAATCAGATGAAAATTTGTTATAAATCATGAACAATTATTATAATTTTCACTATCATAAATAAATGCATTGATTATTATTATTATTATTATTATTCGTAATTATGTATTATAAAGCTATCTCTTATTATCCTTTATATGTACATTTTTTTTATTGGCCATCAATATGATACTGATATAATAACACAACTGTTATGAGTGAATTATATTTTTTCTCGACAATAGTTAAATAACTATTCCTTAGGCAAATAAGAATTAATTTATCAGAAGTATATCATCTTATGATAAATGTAAACATTTAAATACTAATAACTAATTTTTTTAAAATTTAAACTAATTAAATAGATGAAAAAAAAAATTATATTTCAGAATAATAATTAGTTAATAGATAAAAATATTTTTGAAATAGAAATAATTTATTTTGTTGTTTTTCTTTATCGATTATTTTAGCTATAAGTTTTGTTGTTCTGCTGATATGAATCATATATGCACTGTTGTTGTTGTTATTTTTTAACTGGCAGGGAAACGGGGTAAAGTTTACGTGAATCATAAGTTTATTTTCTATTTTGGAAAAATACACCTTATAAAAACCTGTCTACTCAACATTGACGACGTCATTTCATCAGTAATGCTTTGATAGACATA